CAGTAGACAGTAAAATGTCAATATTCCATCTTTTAGCAGTATTTATTCTCACAATGACTATTTTACTTCTACCAGACTATAGCTTAATTCTGAAGGCAAAAAAAGAAAAAAGATTTTTTTATCATGCCATTGGATTTTCCATTTAAAACATAATCTTCACTTTTTAGTTGACATGATTTGGAGTTAATCTCATGCTGGAATAAAGAAGAGCTTTATGAGCATGAAATCTGTTTATATTTGTTCTGTGTTTGAAGGATTAGCTGTCATGTACCCAGCTGAAATGCCTGACGTCCTGAAAATGGCCCTGGGATTACTGCTAGTAGGGGAAGATCCTGAGCATATTCAGGTCTCTGTGCTGGCCCTGGCAGAATTTAACCCCATCACATTGGTAAGGTGAGATTTGATAGAGTGGTTACATCTCAAAATATAGAGAGCTATACAAAATAACTTGTTTTAAAAAAAGGAAACTTTGGCTGAGGATTTGGCTCAGTAGTGTAGCACTAGCCTAGCACTTGCAAGGCTCTGGATTCAATCCCCAGTACCACAAAAAAAATTTTAATATAAAAATAGAAATAAAAAGGAAAATTTTAACTATTTTATAGTTTCATAGTCAAATAAAGGCAGATAAGATAATGAAACTTTATCTTAATTGTCACATAAGGCTTGGAGCATTTTGATCAAAAATCTCAGAATTAACTAACTTTCATCCCAAATTAATTCAGTCTTACCTAGTTATCTATACTTCCCTTCTTATCAACAAAAGATCAAATCCAACAGTACATGTGCAGTTTGAGAATCTGTCATAAAGCTGGCTGAAATTAGAACACTGTTTACTTAACAACGAACACTAAAGCAAATCATTTCAATCACTTAATTGATATCAAAATATTTTGGATTCTCCACTATATGCCAATGTTATGAACAATACTGATAAATTAGATGTGGCTCTTATCTCTAAGTTGGCTGGTAGTAAAAGCTAATGTCAAAGATTTTAGTTAATATGGCAAGCAGTTTCCAAAATGGCTCTCAGTGATCTTGGTTTCCTGGAATCCACTTTTCTTGCAATAATAAAATATAACAAATGCAGCAATTTATAAAGAATAGATATTTATTTCTCACAGTTCTGAGGCTGAGAAGTCCAAGATCAAAGCACCAACCTCTGGTCTGCGGAGGGCATATTTTCTGTGTTCTCCCATGGTAGAAGACAGAAAGGCAAGCTTACAGAAGTTATGTGAAGTCTCCTTTAAAAAAAACTTTACTCCTGTTAAAGAAGGAGCAGTCTGCACAGCCTCATTACCTCTCTAAGGCCCCACCTCTTACTACCACCACACTGGCAACACCTGAATTTTGGAGGGCACTGATTCAAACTATTGCAATAAGATTTGCAAATAATGTGTTTACTAGTTTTACTTAATACTTTACATATTTGAAATTTTGGTTAAAAAACAACTGTTGATCAACTTTTTTAGAGTTGCACAAAAAATAAAATAATAGGAAAAGCAATGGATTGTTTGCCAAATTCAATTTGAGTGTGACACCAACTTCATGAAACTTAAAAAATGTCCTAATTGTTTGGAAACTGGGGGCTTTTAACACTGTTCATGTTTTCATGGGTTAAAGAAATCATTGTTTTCTTTTTTCTCAATGCTGTAGATTCAACAATATATTAATAGAAAAATGTATCTTCTCATGTGGATTAGACATCAAGAGACCAATTTGTGCATATAAGAAAAAATTAAAAATAAATACACTCAGAAAATATATTATTGAACTGTATAATGAACATAAATTTATTGGCAGTGTTCCAGAAGGCATGTAAAACTGTATTAATAAAGAATGATCTTTTTCATTATTCTCAAAAATTCTTCCCATTTATTTCTCCATCTTTATCACAATCAGCTTCATTGAACATTTCCTGTAAAAAAATGTAACATGACCTATGGAAACTATTAAAAATGAGTAAGTGAATACTCAAATACATATTCAAATCAAATTTTATTTTCAATGAAAAGTTACAACTAAAGTTAGAATACAGAATAATTATGCATAAATTATAGTGATAAAAATAAGCAAGATTTACCTGAAGTTCATTGTCTGTTAAATTTTCCCCTAGTTCCTTGGAAACCCTCCTTATATTATTTAGTGTTATGCTTCCAGTGTCATCATCATCAAATAATTTGAAAGCCTTCGATATTTCTTTCATCTTTTTCACTCTTTTAGAAAAATAGCTATCATTAGTCTTTTATTTACTCCTCAAGTTGGACTTAGTAGATCTTTGACTTCTTGATCTGTAATGTAGCAGGAATCTGAATTCTGACTTTGTTGTTCTGACTTTTAACAACTTTCCCAATGTGCTCATATCTACCACCAGGGTACTTAAATGCATGTGCTGAAGCGGGAAACACCACAGGATGATACAGAAAGTGTACCCTAGCAGTGCACACCCTTAACCAAAGCTATAAGTTGTAAAAGATCAGGGAAGTTGTCTCATTTGAGGCTCCTTGGGACAACGCCTGGCAAAAATAGGCACTCAATATGTGTTTGACAAATACAAAGCTTCAAAATCTTGGGCCCATTTTCTCTATTCTACTCTATCATTATTACATTGTAGTATCATTATTTCCTGACAAGAACCTCTTCTGTACTCCATACAGTCTTTTATTACCCTCCTGGAAACCTCTTTAATCTTGCTATTCCTATCTAAATCCTACCCATCTTTAAAGTCCTAGTTCCAGTTCTCTGAAACCTCTGATTGCTGCAGCCACAAAATATAGAAGGCTACTGCTTACATATCTTTGAAAAATAAAATCATGACTACCATTTTTACATTCATAATGGCAAAAAAATTTCAAAATTAATAGTGCCAACTCCTTCTTGGTCTATTTCATCTATCATTTGTTCAATTTCTTCTTTCTTTGGTACAAATCCTAAGGCCTGCATTGCAATCTGAAATAGGAAAGAAATAAATTTTAATTTGCCACAATTTCATTCTGAGCTTTATAATTGCTTACTAATTAATAGCCCCCCCCAACATGGACTGAGATAAACCTAGGAAATTAGATCAGCAAGCCTAGGTTCTGATCCCACTTAGCTACACCCTGGGCTTTGGCCCACTCATCTATAAAATACAATTCAAATGTTTAACAAGATATTGTTTTGCTAATGCAGGGCAGGTGTATGTTCTGAAGAGACTTTATATCAGTCTTTCAAAAAACTATTAAAGAAAGGTTTAATATTTCCAAAAATAAATGTTAAGGCTTTTTAAATGTTTTAGAATTAGAAATAATTTCAGAATCTTCAATTCTTTCACATCTAAGGTTCCAGGCCCATCTATATGTCAAATAAGTCAAAGTCTCTTTAATTTCTTGCTTTTGAGTTTCACTCAATTCAATTTTTGCTGCTTTTTTCTTCTCTTGCTCTAAATTTGTATGGTAGTTAGATGCCTGTAATAAATACATATATGGGTGAAAGATAAACTATATAACTAGAATAATTGATGAACAAATTAAATGTCATAAATGAATATATTTAAGCATACCTTATTTCCTACTATATAACGACCCCAATGGTTTCCTCCTTGTAAACATTTGTGATTTTAGTCATTGATGTTTTGGTGGAAAAGCTTATTTTTTTGTTTTTGTTTTTTACCATTCAGATCTTTCCTTAAAACTAGAGCTTTTTGAAATCTGGCCATGGTGGCACTTGCCTATAATCTCAGCATTCAGGAGGCTGAGGCAGAAGGATCATATGTGAATATGAGGCCAGCCTGGACTACATAGTAAGTTCAAGACCAGCCTGAACTACATAGTGAGACCTTGTCTCAAAAAAACAAAAACAAAATTAGTGCCTTTTGAGAGGAAAAAGAAACAAAAGACAATGTGCCTGATGTTATGTCAGAATACAATTAGCTTTACTTGGTATATCTGAAAAGTATACTTTCATAAATACCTATACGTTTCACAATAAAATGTGTTTGTTTGGGGTCATGCTTGACTGAAACACAGTATCTTTTTCCACTTTATTCTACCACACTGTCCTATATTATAGAGATGGGGAAAGTGAAAAGCCACTTTTTCCAGGTAAAAAAATGACTTCAAAGATTTATGTGAGAATGTTGGGTCAACTATCAGTATTCACCTAATACTTAGTAGGTGGAGGTCATCTTGCTGTTTGCTATTTTCTGCCAGCAAGCTAGGTCACAGTTTCTCATTGTGTCTTTCTGCAGCCTTATTTTGGTGTCTTGTCTCCAGCTTTGGGTTAAGGAGCAGTGGCAGAGCAGGCAGCAACTGGATTCCATGTTTCTGGGGATCTAAACCACCAGCGTCAAGTGTGTTAAGAGTTGGCTATGGTAGTTGTGGATTCGGGATTCCCGGACTGCCAGTAGTACTGCTGTGGTCTTCTTAGTTTTCCGAAGGCAGCCTTCTGAATCCTCACCTCGCCAACCCAGGAAGAATCAGTAGTTTCCCTGCCAGTCAGTCTACACTCCGCTCCCCCGAGCCCTCCAACAGTTTTAAACATCTTATTCTTTGCACTCAATTCCTCGCAAGCTAAAAATTGATTTCTGTTTCTAATACACAACCTACTGTAGACTGTTGGCATTTGCAATTGTTAGGGTTGATGTGGGAAAAAAATTAATTGGAGACTTGCTCATCTATTGCTAGAGTTCCTGAAAATACGCTCCTATTTGGTGACATGAAGAGGGTTACTAACGACCCTCGAGGATTATGAAACAAATGAAAATGATACATTTCATAAGCTAAACAAAATTCCTTCCTTGCCCAGCCCCACTCTAAGGAGGTTATAGCATCGCACTCACCAAGTCCCCAACTAGCTCCCTCAGCCAGGGACTCCTAGCGTCAACCCGCCCCTCAGCATAGAGCAACCGCTGCTTTCGTAGCTAGGAAACCGTTGCTAAGGCAGCAATTCTAGCGTCACAATCCCCGCCCTCCCAGCCGTATTGATTGACGGTCATTCTATCCAATAGTCAAAAAGAAGGCACTTGAGGCTCGCCTCCTTCTACTCCCTACCAATAGCGTGGTGCTCCCTCCTTTCTCCGCCCACCGCTAAGCGGAAGTTTCCTCTGGGGCTGCATTTCTTAAACGACTAGACCGCCCCTTCGCACTTGCGCAAGCTGCTGAGAGGGAAGCGGCCGGAGTTTAGCAGGCCGGTTGAGTCCCTGTACCAGCCAGAACCGCCCCTGCGGTGGGAAGCCGGAGACTCTAGCCCCACCCTGGAAGAGGAGAAAGGCGTGAGGTTAGTAGCGAGTTTCTTCCTCAGACTGCTAACTCTGGTGGAAACCTTGTTTGCTTCTGTGACCTCTTCCGTTCCGGAAAGGATGAGAATATAGTCTGCTGGCCTGGGATAAATTGGTCCAGCACCCTGCAAGAAGCACTGCAGAGGGAGAGGACTGTCCTCTCCGCGCAGTTAGACATTTCTCAGCTCCCACGATGCCTGGGCTTTTAGCCATTTCCCGCCTGCTTGGACGACAGGGATTCTGCCATAGTAGGCACCACAGTGCAGGGAATAGGACTGCCGAATGGTAGGAATGGTGGAAAGGAAGTGGGATTGAGGGCGGGAGGGTCTTGGAATATACAAGAAACTTCACTGAATAGGAGAGGACTTTTACACATGGTATGGTATTGTAGGGGTAGGAATGAAGAGGTGATGGTGTCTCAAAACTCCTAATCTTTGATTGCTTGTATATTAGGACCCCTTTCATGCCTCCTGCAATCCTTCTCTAGAATAAATATTTACATTTCTAAAGATCATACTGAATTCTCCAACGTTAGGAAGAATATTAACTTTTGCCTAGACTTTCTTTCCTTTATTTCCCTTATCTCTTTGAAGGTAGGGCAGAAAAAATATGCAAAGTACATTCCTGAAGCAGCCTTCCAAATCACTCTTTATACATTAGTAAATGAATCATGACACGTTTCCCAAAGCTATTAGTCTGTCTTGTTCCATTATATCGCAGGCAGACACTCAAACACCGCAACCATTTTTTTTTTTTTGGTACCGGGGATCAACTCAGGACCTTGCACTTGCAAGGCAGGTGCAGTGCTGCTGAGTTAAATCCCCAGCTGTAATCATTTAATCTCCTTAGGCTTCTGGGAAATAGGTAACGTTGTCTTAACATTAGAAGTGATTTTTCAGTAAAAATTAAAATTATATAAATTCAGGACATTTTGTGAATTAAGTAAAATGTTAAGTCATGTAAGTATAATGGTTTTTCAGCCTATTTATCTCACCTGGAAAGTTGCTGTTGATCAGTCAACTTCATCTTTAACATTAATTTGAAAGGCATTTCTAAGACCTAGAAATGAATATTGACTAACTGTATACCCAAGTTAATTCCAGTTTCTAGGCTTTCCTAGATCTAGTGACAATTAAAAGGTTAAACAGGGCAGGGGATTTAGGTCAGTGGTGCCGCAGGCTGCCTCACAAGCACAAGTACCAAAAAAAAAAAAAAAAAGCCAAACAATTATGCTAGCCTGTTTTTACATCACTGTGATTTCAACTCTCATATTTATGATGTTCTAGTAATATTCTAATGATAGGCTAAGATTCCAGTTTTTTATTAAGGTATATTCAGTCTTGAAAATAGCAGTTACCAATTTGATTTTATAATAGAATTTTAACAATAATCTAGGAAAATATTAAGCCCATAGTCATTCTTAAATCTACCCAATTCATTAGATGCTTTCTACATGTCATACACTATGCCAACTACTGAATGAATCAGAAAGGAGTTGGGGTAGACTTAGAGTATAAAACATTAGTAAAGCACAGGAACCCATAGATTAGTGGGGGAAATAGACAAAAAGATAAATAACAGTGTTTTAAATACAGGTTACTACTGCTTTGGGAGCATGGAAAGGAAGGGCTAGTCCCTGAGGCCTTGGAGAGAGCTATATCAAATTTGTGGCATTTGTCTTAGGTTGTGACAGATGTAGAATTGAAGGAGGTGAAGAAAAGATAGGCTGTTCAATGCAGAGGTAACATGTACAAAGTGACAATAAAGGATACATTCTGGCAAGTTCATGGAATTTTTAAGAAAAGGTAGAAGAGGAGTCTGATAAATAAGGTTGAGGTTAGGTTATAGAACACCTAGATTTAAAAAAAGCAAAGACTTTATTTTCTAAGATAAATAAATGTTTTTGGCAATGTCTTATTACATTTATTTTGCTTTTTCAGAGACAATTCTGACAACCACATGAAGGAGAAACCCTCTTTAAAAGTAATTACAGAGCTTCAACTAAGGCAATGCCAAATAGGAATCACGTCAACTCAAGAGGTAGTTGAAACTCAGATTCATGCTGGAGGAATACTACCAGTGGCATCTGTCTTCTCTTCTTTCTGTTTTGTACTTAAATTTAGGATACCAAATGTGGTGAAAAACACTGATTCATTCACTTGTCAAATATTTATTGAGTGCCTCCAATAGCATTATTGGGCAATATTCTTCTAGGTACTTGGGTACCTTGATGACTAAGATTGCTCAACTGAAAATAGCATACCAACAGAGTGATAATCCATAAATAATCCATGAACTATACACTATTTTATAAGGTGATAAGCATTACAGAAGAAAAGAGCAGATAAAGGGTATACAGAGTATAGAGGGTAAAGAACAGTTTGTGATATGAATAGGATGCTCAGGGTAAGATTCATTGAAAGGAGATTTAAGAAAATATTTGAAGGAGTTGAGGCAGTACATTTCTTGGAAAAGAGCATTCCAGGAAGCAGGAACCACTAAAACAGAAACATTAGTGTAGGGAGCATGCCTTGTATGTCCCAGGCACAAATAGGAGGGGAAAGCAAAGTGTAGGAGTAGGAGGAGGTGTGTCAGGGAGAGGAACACATGAGGGCATTGTAAAGACTGTGGTTTTTCACTTGGAGTGAATTGGGGAAATTTTGCAGGATTTTGAGCATTTCAGATCTGAGTTTATTTTTGAAAGGGACTCCTGTGTCAAACAAAGAAGACTGTCTTCTGAGTTGTTTTTAAATAGTGAGATGATATTTTATGAAAAGAAAACTTCTTCTCCTGTCAAAATCCCAGTTAAATAGTCTGACTCTGCTCTTCCATTACGTACTTTAAAAGTTAAAGCAATATTAAGCTAGCAAGTAATAAAAACAGAGAACTGTTTGTGGAAACATTGGCATTGATGCATAGCAGGACAAGAATGAGAATGTGTCAGTGCAGTGCCAAGAATAGTTGCCAAAGGCACTTATTATCTTTGAAATTATCCATTTCACCATCCCCTTCACTGTTTTTGCTTTTTTTATACTCAACCCCTTAGAAGATGAAGAATTGTTTTCAGTTTTTATTTTGTGTTCATGGTAGCTCATTGCAGCCTCTTCAAAATAATAATTTAAGAGCTCTTCCAAAGTTTAGAATTCTAAGACTATTTTTCAGTTACCACTCAGATTTGGAATAGCTTCTTCAAATGCTGAAACAGATCTTCTTTGACTGTTTATTTGGAATCAACTTTATGAATTTTTTGTAGATTAGTTTTGTTTAAATAATTTCATGCCTTCTTTGGGAAATCTTGTAAATTCAATACAGACTAAATCTGAAAGAGCCCATGATTTTTTCCTTTTGCACTAAATTCTTTCCCATTCGTGTAAAAATATCTTGTGTTAAGCATTGTATAGACAGTAGACCATAAGCAGTATATGAACAAGGCTTAGAAGAGAGATTGAAAGAGGGAAATGAAGTAGAAAATTCTAAAGATAAAGAAAGAATAAGATACTATCATACTGGATAGTGAGGCAACCAGGAGGTACTACTGTGTGGTAGTTAATAGCATAGACTTTAGAATCTGACAAACCTGGGTTTTATTCCATACCCTTTTATTTACTAGCTATGAAATTCTGTACATGTTACTTAAATATTGTGCTTCATTTTCTACATCACTAAAATAGGCCAGTTGTAGCACCTACCTCATCTCATTATTGTGAAAGCTACATCATATAATACATGTAAAGTGCCTCATATACAGTGAGTTCATACATTAGAAATGAAGAACAAAAACAAAAAAGTCAGTTTTGTTATTTGAAACTTGTTTTTCAACAAATAATTCTTTGAGCAACTGGATAGCCATAAAGGGGGGCGGACTTTTTGCCTCACACCATTTACAAAAAACAGTTTAAATTATAAACATACATGTAAGGAGAAGAGCAAAGTTTCACTCATTTTTCCTGACATAAAACCTTACTCCAAATCTGCAGTTAAAAACAAGATGATACTCACAAAAAATGCATACATAGACCAATGGAACTGAATTGAGAATCCAGAAATAAACCCATACACGGGTGGCCAGTTGATTTTTGACAAAGGTGCTAAGGCCACTCAATTGAGGAAAAAATACTCTCTTCAACAAATGATGCCAAGGCAATTGTATATCCATATGTAAAAGAATGAAGTTAGACCTCTGCCATGCAACATATACAAAAATGACCCAAAATTGATCAACAAACCAAATATAAGAGATGAATTTAAGAGGTGAATGAAACTCTTTTAATAAAACATTGAATTAAATATGCATAACCTTAGATTTGGCAGTGGATTCTAAGATATGATACCAAGAGCATGAATGGCAACATAAATAAGACCAGCAAAATTAAAAACTTTGGTGCATCAAAGTGTAGAGTCAAAAAACTAGACATTTTTATATGCAGGATGAGACAATGTATTTGCACATCAAATATAGTGGTCCCTTAGTATCTGGAGGAATTGGTTCCAGGAGCCCCTAGTGGATACCAAAATCCACTGGGGCATAAGCTCCTTACATAAAATGGTGTAGTATTTGAATATACCCTACACACAGCTGCCCATAAACTTTAACTCGTCTCTAAAATCATTTATAACTAATACAGTGTAAATAGTTGTTATGCTGTATTGTTTAAGGAATAATAAGATAAAAGAAGTCCATACATGTTCAGTACAGAGACAAGTTTTTTCCCATTTTCCATCCATAGTTAGTTGAATCCACAAATATGGAAATCACTGATACAGAAGGGCTGACTGTTCTTTGATAAGGGTCTAACATACAGAATATTATAGAAAGAATTCTTACAACTTGACAACAGCAAAACTAACAATCCAGTTTTTAAATAGACAAATTACTTGAATAGACATTTCTCCAAAGAAGACATACAAATGGGTAACAGACACATGGAAAGATTCTCAAGTACTACTCATTAGTCTTTAGGAAAATACAAGTCAAAACCACAGAGATATCACTTCACATCCATTAGGATGTCTTTAATTTTGCATAAATAACAGTAAGTGCTTTTGAATACTACTGACTAAATAGTGCCACCACACACACGAACACATACAATTCATGTCCTCCTAGTATCTCAGAATATGATCTTATTTGAAAATAGTGTCTTTGTAGATGTAATTAGTGATGAGATCACATCGGATTCAGGGGTCCTAAATCCAACAACTAGTGTCATGATTATAAAATAACCATTTGAAACAGAGGCTAGGATTAGAATTACACAATTCAAAGCCAAGGACTGCCTGGAGCAGCAAGAAGCTGGGAGAGGCAAAGAAGGATTCTTCCCTAGAGTCCTAAGAGGGAGCACTTCCCTGCCAAAATCTTAATTTCAGATTCTAGACTCCAGACCCATGAGAGCATAAATGTGTATTGTTTTAAGCCTCCCAATACTTTGTAGTAATTTGGTGTACCAGCCCTGAGAAACTAATACAGTGAAGGTGTGGAGAAATTGAAACCCTGGTACATTGCTGGTGGAAATGTTCAACTGCTATGGAAAAATTCGGCAGTTCCTTAAAAACTTAAACATAGAATTACCATATGACCCAACAATTTCACTTCTGGGAACTTTATATCCAAAAGAATTGAAAACAGGTACTCAAACACGCACACATAAATGCTAACCCACACAATTCCTGGTAGTCAAAAGGTAAAACAACCCAAATCGTTATCATTGGATGAGTGGATATATAAAATGTGATACACGTGGTGGAGTATTACTCAACCACAAAAAAGGAATGGAGTACTGATACATACTATAGTGCAGTTGAACCTCAAAAACGTTATGCTAAATGAAAGATAAAAGGTCACATGATTCTGTTTATATAAAATATCAAGAATAGTTAAGTGATAGAGACTGAAAGCAAATCGGTGATTGCCAGGGACTGGGAAAGAAGGGAACAGAGAGTGACTGTTTAATAGCTGAAGGGTTTGGGAATAAGAGGTAGTAGTAGTATAACACTGTGTATGTTCTAAATGCCCCTGAATTGTACAGTTTAAAATAGTTAAGTTTATATTAGATGAATTTCACCCAGTTTTTTAAAGGACTAAAACCATGAATCTTAAAAGAAACATAGAATATATTTTTTACATAAAAGTAGGCAAAACTTTCCTACATAGGACACAGAAAACAATAACAAAATTTTTTAAAAAGATAAATGGCTTAGGTAAATAGATTGCTAGGCAGTATTAAGGGCCACCTGAGGTTTGAGGTCATGAACCAAAAATGACACCAGTGAACATGGTTTTGTGTGTGTGTGTGTGTGTGTGTGTGTGTGTGTGTGTGTGTGGTCTGCTGCACCAGTGGAAGCATGGGGTAGACAGTTGGAGTTCACCAAGATTAATAGCTTTGCAGGGTGAGTATAATGAAATAAAAGAGGGGCACCAGGCGTGGTGGCACATGCCTGTAATCCCAGCATTTGGGAGGCTGAGACAGGAGGATCACCATGAGTTCGAGGCAAGCCTGAGCTACATAGTGAGACCCTGTCTCAAAAAAAAAATTTTTTTTAAGGGGCAAAAGACTAAAAATTGATATTTGTGCAAGGAAATGTTTGTAATAATTGACCAAAGAAACTGAAACCAGGTAGGGAGTTGATGGTATAGAAGAGGTGAAGGACAGTAAAATGTGGCAAGATCAGATAGTTATAAGACACGATGGGTCTCAGGATTGTCGAAGTTAGAGTCCTAGAGTATATTGTGATGTTACATTTTGATGCTATCTAGGAATATAGAACTGAAATTTTCACAAAAGAGAATTTGAAACTGAGTCAAATCTAATACATAGTTTCCTAGGCTGTCCTAGTTTTCCTCCCTAGTCCCAGAAAGCATATAGGAAGCCACACTTGAGAAATAGTGTCTTCTGTTGATCTTGAGATGTATCTTGAACTATGATGCTCTTCAGTTTCAAAGATGAATTTAGGTATTAGAGAAACAAGTGTATTAATGTTATGGCTGGTAGTAGCGGAAAAGCAAAAATCTTTCTTCTTTGCTTTTTAATATTTGAGATTTTAAAAATTGTGGTTAAACATGTGATTCAAAGAACCCTGAAGTATTAGAGGTGAAGAGACTTCTCTTCAGTACTTTGTGTAACAGGGAACTCATGCCTCACAAGGCAGACGACTTTATTACAAATGGCTTTTCAATTAGAGAACACCATGTTTAAAGTTTGTTTTTACTGAGCTATATAGTCTTTCTCTTACCATTTCCTATTCATTTTTATATTTGTTTCAAATATTATATAGATTAATCCAGCTGCTCTTGAGCCTCCCTTTAAATAGCACTGTCCTTTTCTTTGTAATATAATCATCAATCAAATCCATCTCTGTCCCTCCATCTGCTTTCATATTTCTTATCTAGATAACTGTAGAAGATTCTTAACTGGCCCTCTACCTGCAGTCTGGCACTCAGCCCGTTAGTCGTCTAAACTTGTTATCAGAACGGAAATAGATCTAAACCATTATTGATATTGTTATTATTAAAGCAAGCCCTCATAGACAGTATATGCCAAGCACTGTTCTAAGCACTATATTTATTCTTCATAATAACTCTGTGAATCTATTATCTTCCCCATTTTTATTATGTGGAAATTGAGAGTTAGGGTAGTCAGATAAGTTGCTGATGGGTACCCAGCTAAGAAGCAGTAGAGCCAAAGTCAAGCCCAGACTTCTAGACTCAGAAGCACAAACTTTGAAGCCCCATTTCAGGTGGTTTCTTAATCTACTTAAAACAATTCAGTGGTCTCCATGATAGGATCAAATGTAAGCTTCTTGACATAATACACAATGCCCTTCATAATCCAGCTCCTTTCCTCTTCTGAAGTATCCCCTACTGTTTCCCACTGCATTCTTTAGATTCACAAAATACCAAACTGCATCATCTCTTACTATTCCCTACTGCATTCTTTATATTCCCATAACACCAAACTGCGTGTATTACCCCAAAACACTGTGTTTTTTCACATATATGGCATTTACTACCATCTCCTTCAGCATGCTAATTCTTTCAAGTTATCCTTGAAGACTCATTCCATGGGGTGCCTTCTTTTGAAACAGTACCTGTTGCTGTGTGCTTTGTTTCCCCTTTTGGGTGAAGTGGTCATCCTTCATGCCCTGCACCCATCATTAATATTATACTACATCCTTGCAAGTGACTACATTTAATGGTAACTATATTTAAAGACAGGAACTGTATCTTACTTTTCTTTCTATATAGCATGAACCAAGAATCACAGTGAATAAAGTTCCAAGTTTTTTATTTGCAGGTGATGGATGATTCATGGTGATGGCTTGCAGGGTCATGAACAAAAGAAGGCACATGGGACTTCAGCAGCTTTCTTCATTTGCAGAAACAGGAAGAACATTCCTAGGCCCAGTAAAATCATCAAAATTTATTACTGATGAAGAATGTCATGAAAGTGTATTAGTCAGCTCAACAGTAAGGCTTCTTGAAAGTTTAGAGATGACCAGTGCCACAGGGCAACTTCTCAATGAAGCAGTTCAAGCACAGAATGACACATATAGAACTGGAGCCACCACTCTTTTGTTTCTTGCTGGTGCATGGAGCAGTGCTGTTGAAGAATGTCTCCACCTGGGTGTCCCCATTGCAATAATTGTTTCAGTAATGTCAGAAGCCTTGAACTCCTGTAGTGAAGAGGTTGTTTCCCTTCAGGTACCTGTCCACAATATATTTGACCATATGGGCAGCACAAAGGCAATTTCTGAACTTGAGACAGTTAGTGTCAGTTTGTGTCCTTTTCTACAAGACCCTTCAGGTGCTAGTTCAGTACAGGAAGAGCATGATCACAGAGATGGTGTACCTCAGTTAACCACTTACAATCTTTCCAGGAGACCTGTTAAATCACCTAAGTTCTTCCAACCTGATGCTAAAATTGAAGCAGGTGAAAACACATCACAAACTCTGAAGAATAGTCTACATACAGACACCTTCAGAAAATCTATATTTATCCATAGTAGGCATTTTAACAGGACAGATAATAATCAAGGAATACACAAGCCAGATAGATTTCAGGAACAGCGTGGTGCCACTACTTTCCAAACTTACAGATGTGATGATCTGGCTGAGTTGGCAGTGGGCTTGAGTCATGGTGATCATAGCAGCATGAAACTGGTAGAAGAAGCAGTACGGCTGCAGTATCAGAATGCTTGTATGCAACAAGGCAACTGTGGAGTGCCATTTGTGTTTGACATTTCAAGACTCTTCACTTGCACTCTACCAGGCTTACCTGAAACCTTTTCTTGTGTTTGTCCAGGATATATCATGCTGGTGTCAATATCCTGTGCTGCTCTGATTAAGGAATTGCAGAATCAGCCTATTCGGGTAGTTCTTATTGAGGGTGACCTCACAGAGAGCTATCGCCACCTGGGATTTAATAAGTCTACAAATATTAAAACAGTGCTAGATAGCGTGAAGCTTCAAGAAGACAGCTCCGAAGAACTGTGGGCAAATCATGTACTACAACTGTTAATCCAGTTCAATGTGAATCTCATCCTGGTAAAAGGAAATGTATCTGAACACTTGACTGAAAAATGCATGCACAGTAAGCGGCTGGTTGTTGGGTCAGTGAATGGCCATGTGATACAGGCTTTCGCAGAGGCCACAGGAGCAGTGCAGGTGGCCTATATCACACAAGTGAATGAAGACTGTGTGGGCAATGGGATCTCTGTGGCCTTCTGGAGAAAACCCTTGGATGTTGTAGATAGGAACAATAGAATCCCAGTCTTATTAAAAACAGAAAGAATTAATTTGATTACAGCAGTGCTCGCTAGCCCAGTTAGTGCACAGATGCAAACCAAAGAAGATAGGTTCTGGACATGTGCATATCGTATATATCATGCTCTAAAAGAGGAAAAGGTCTTCCTTGGAGGCAGTGCAGTTGAATTTTTGTGTCTTAGCCATCTTCAAATTCTTGCTGAGCAGCCTCTCCAAAAAGGAGACCGTGCCTGTTTGGGATGGCTTCGTGATACTTCCTCTTGGCTAGCTTCATCTCTGGCAATATACAGACCAACTGTGCTTAAGTGCCTGGCAAATGGATGGTACAAATACCTCTCAGTTCTCCTATATAACACTGCCAGTTACTCATCAGAATTGGAAGCCAGCACATTCATTCAGCATCATCTACAAAATGCTATAGGCTCTGGCTCTCCTTCATCTTATATCTTGAAAGAATATAGTAAACTAGCTAGTGGAATTTTTAATTCAAGCATTTCAAACAAACTGGAGCAGTTTCCAAGAGTTTATGATGTTGTTACACCAAAGATTGAGGCATGGCGCCGAGCACTGGACTTAGTACTCTTAGTGCTGCAAACAGACAGTGAAATTATTACTGGACTTGGACATGTACAGATAAATTCACAGAAATTAGAGGGTTTTTTATTTTTGTAATGTTATTGTTATGTCTTTGAAAAATAATCCTTTGTAATAGATCATGCTAATAATAAATTTATTAATGGTAAAGTCATAGAGCTGAAAATGCTAGCTGCTTACCAAGAAGAAGAAAATTGATGTCTGTCAGTAACTGCAGGGTCTGAGAATATACGTTACTGGTAAACTAACAAATTAGTCTGTTGCTGTTTCATAGGACTCTACATAAGATGTATAAAACACCTAAGTGAGAGGAAAATGCCTTTTATTACTCAACAGCAAAAGCTATACCTAGAGCTTTATGTTAGTTTTCGTTAATTCCCTCTTTTTCTGAGTACCACAGGGTCAGTGAGAACCTACACACAGTGGATTTTGTTGTTGGAGAGGAACCCTGAGCTTGGGATATTCTCTGCTTTTTAATTAGCAGAAACAGTCCAGCTTTTTTGTCCAGCAGGAGCTGTTATCACATACTTCAAGGTCATTTAGTATAAACATAAACACTGGACATAGATTGGATAAAGATGAATCAAGTCTTTGCATTCTTGGCATACCCAATTAGTATGCAAAGGATGCTCAGACTCTGAGGTGGATAACCTCTTCCAGGAATTCATGTCATTTTTATTAGGCTGGGATTGGCAGGAGACCTAGTTGGAATAAGGTCACTGAAAATAAATGTAATCTCAGAGACAAGGTTCCTTAAACTTTAGGAAACATAGATGGAGATAGAAAATCTTTCCTACCAGACTTAACTCTGGTAAGCACAGAAGGCTACCCAGGCTATATTTCAGCCCTTCATTAAGAACAGCAGAGAGCACTGGAGTAATGAAACTGAAAAATTAACACTGGCCCATCCCCATCTCCACAGGTGTCCCTTCCTTTGATGGGATCCACAAAAATCCTTGTACATGGTTAGGGAAAAAGAGAAGCCACTTAATATCAAATTAAGTATAAGCAAAGATGAAAACAGACTGCCTTAGTTCTCTATGCTGCCATAACGAAATACCACACTGGGTAATTTAATAACGAATTTATTACCTCAGTTCTGAAGGCCTGGAAGTCCAAGATTACGATGGCACCATCCAATCTGAGCCTTCCTACTATGTCCTCATGTGGTAGAAGGTAGAAAGCCAAGAGAGTGTGAACACACACTATAGGCCCCATTTTATCATGACATGAATCATTCCTAAACACCTCCCAAAAGGTCCCGCCTCCCAACAGTTATACTGGGAATTAAGTTTCTAACACATGAGTTTCTGGAGGGGCTAAAAACATTCAGACTATAGCACAAACCAAACAGTATTACAATAGATAATGAAAATTCATCAGGCAGCTACATAGCAGGCAAAAATTATGTTCAAAATGAATTAAATCAGGGGCTGGGGATTTAGTTCAGTGGTTTCGCTGCCTGGTGCGCAAGCGCAAGGACCCGAGTTCAATCCCCGGTACCAAAAAAAAAAAAAAAAAAGAATTAAATCGTTTAGATTGAAGTTTTTGAAAACAGCAGAAGTTTAAAATGAAATCAGAAATTAAATTGCAAAGAACAGGTTGTGAACTGAGAATTCATACAACTTAGAAAAAGAAATGAGATGATGGTAAACACTTTGGACGAAATTACAAGTATACTTCCTGGAAAATATAATCAGACAAGTAAGTTTCATTCCCAGGAACTCAGAAAAACAAAGAAACTCACAACCTCTTCCAAAATTCCAACAGAGATCTTCATTATACCATTTTTCTTATTAAATGATTATTTTAATGGCCAGACTTTACAAAAGATAAATATCCTGTGTAAAGCATGGGCCCAATGTAACATTAGAGCCACTCTGAAATTTGAAACCATTAAGTTTAGAGACAGTTCTTGGTTCACTAGTTCATACCATTGCTCTACTCTAAAAGGCTCAATTGAATGGAGGGAAGGCAATGGTGGGTCAGTGTAGTCCAGGGTCTCACAGGGTGCAAGTTCCTTGATGTCAGTATACGTGGCAGGGTTTCCATGATCATAGCTTTGCAGACCCACAGATTCTTGTCCGGATAGCAGGAAATAATCATTAGGAGAACTAATCCATACTAACCAAACTCTTAGAGATTAATGTAAACTGATAGCTAATTTCACATATTTGTAACATAACTGACAGAAGACCAGGATACACAGGAACAGCCCAGAATTTTCTTTGTGTAGGAATTTCTTTAGAAAGCTAGTAATAGTGTTTATTAGGGCTGGAATCAAATCTAAGGCCTCCTCTGATACAACCACTGGTCACTCTTCAAGAGCCATTAGCCAGGAAGGAGAACTCTGGTCAGCTCTGATGCACACTATTCAGCCCTATAGCCCTGCCCTTTGGAGGCTACACCACAGAGTCTCCTTGAGTGACTTATAGCTTTTATTTGGGAGACATCTTCCCCAAAGTGACATAATCATTCATTCATTTCATGGTTGTTCAGTCTCAGAGAATAGTGTTATCTCCAGGTTCTGGGAACAATGGATTGTAGTCTCCTGTGGGCCATCTAAAGGTACTCCATTCTGTGACAGATGCACGACAATAGGAAGCTACCAACTTCTAAGATTCTGGACTTAGATTTAGGAGAATTTTGTTCAAATTCTGCCTCTCCGCCCCCATGTGACCTTGCACAAATCACTTAAACTTTGTAAATCTGTTTCCTTTTATCTGAAATATATATTCTGAAAGTAGTTTGGAGATTTCAATGACACGTGATAAACCTAACTCAATAAATATAAACTGGATGCTCATGTCTAGGTAAGTGAGTCAGGCATTTGGGACATTGTTATAAAACATTTTTGTGAGACTTCCATTCTTTAGCTTTGCAGTTTTAGTGATTCTCCTTTCCATCCTCGTCCTCCCACTCATTTCTGCTTTATAGTCATTAGAAACAATATCCCATAAACCCAAAGGGCTATGTCCCTTCTCAGGAGATAAGAGCAGTCAGAAAACAAAGTACTAAACATGATTTATCTAATTTCTTCAGGTGACTGGAGGAGATAAGAACCCAGGCAGTGGAGGAAAATATTGACAAAGCTTAACCATTTTTAAAGACTTGCTAGGCTCCTTGTGGCTTCTTCCACAGAGTAGCAGGCTATTTTCTACTTCTTGGATTTCCCAGCCTAACTCAAATTAGGGAGGCTGAGGAATCAGAAGCAGATGAGTATAAATCCATCCCTCTTCAGTGAGCTTGCCCTTATTATGTGTCTATGCCATCTGTACAAATGCTGCTGCCAGGTTCTTACTGTAACTTACCTGCCTTACTTTGGTATTATGTTTACATGGAGTAGTACTTCTCAACCCTAACGTCCTAAGAGAATATCTGAGGAACTTTTAAGAAGTACTTATGCCCAGACAGCAATGGCAGATGTTTGTTTAATTAGTCTAAGGTCAGGATGCCCAGCCTTGGTGTTTTTTTAGAGCTCCCTCGATGCTTATAATGTAGTGCTAGAGTTGAAAGCAGCTGACATCAAAGGATTTTTCTCTTGTGCAGTGGCTGCCAATCCCTGGCTGCACTTCACCTAGGGAACATTTAGACAAATCAGAAGCTCTAGGGCCCAGGTATCTGTATTTTTTATAGTTCCCCACATGACTTAAATGTGAAGCCCAACTGATAATCACTGTATAGTAACAAATAGAATAAAAAGAAATGATTTTAAAATACAAAGTAATTACTACCCTTCCCTGGGAAACTCAGCCCACATGCTCAGGGGAAAATACACAATTATAGCTTACCAAAAATCTGAAAAATTATACAGTTAGCTGCAGTCGGGGGACAGTGATGTAGGAAATGGGCACAGAGGTAAGGAAATGTAAGGTAATATAATAGATCTTCATGTATTATATGAAACTAAAATATCAGTGTGTAATTAACTTGAACTCAGCAATCATCTGCAGAAGTATTGATAGTGATACAAGGCACTTCCTCACACATGGCTTTAGAGGGAGCACTTCCCAGGCATCCGCGCACTGTCTTCATGGTGGTTCTATGAGACAGGCATTTTTATTATCTTCAATTTACAGACAAACTGAGGCACACAGGTTAAGTGTCTTGCCCAACCTATTTAGCAGCACAGTCTGGCAGGAGGCCATGGGAGGAGGAGAAGGTGGCTATGGGAGAAAAGAAGGCCATGGGAAGAAGGGCCATGGGAGTGCAGGAGAAATTCTATTTAGAATTTCTATTTCTCCTTATTTTTAACTTATTCTGTAATTGAATTTTTTCTTTATAATATAATTTACATATCCTATTAGCTAACCAGGACATGTATATATTTATATAAATTTGCCTCTATTGGGGGCACATGATCAAAAGTGTCAACATCCTTTCTCCAGGAGCTAATCTGGACACAAATAACAAACACAAACACATAAACTCTGCCTGTAGCAGAATATGAACTGTGTTTTAATAAAATAGGACATTAGGAGAGCAGATTCTCAATAAAAGATGAAAATGAAATAAATTTTTTTATCTGCTCTACCTTCTGTAAGTAAAACCATTTGAAACTTTTGAAATGTAATTTATAGGAATACTTTCACAGGAAATTGAATGGAACTGGAGTTCATCATGTTAAAGGAAATAAGCCAGAAAGCTCAAAAAGACAAATATCTCATGTTTTTCCTAATATGTGGAATCCAAAAAAAGATGGCATGAAAGTAGAAGAGAGACTATTGTTAGAGAAGAGAAATCCAGTAAGAGGGAGGAGGGTGTAAAGGAGGGTAATGAAGGAAGAGTTTGATCAAAATACTTGCATATATGAAAATACCACACTGAAACTCAATAAATTATAAAATTAATAGGCACTAAAATATTTTTTAAAAGAATATTCCTAAGATGATGTTATAAAAGCAGGAATAAATGGGAGTATTACATGATTACACATACATTACCACTTTATTTAGCCATCAATAATTCTTGATGGTTATGAAAATAAATTTTTTATATTAATTTGGTCTTTTTTCATATTTTATAGTATACAGTAGTTTTATACTTTTATGAATATTTAATAAAAGTGTGATATTAATAGTATATTGAGTTGTTTGAACAAGTATAATTTGGATTTTGTTTCAGTATCATATTTAAGCAATCTTTTTTAACCCAGTTTGTAAAGATCATCTTCTATGGGTTCTCATAGGTTTCATTTTCAATAAAGTACATTTTATTGGGGTGCAGTGTATGGCTAACGTTCATCTTTTTTC